GATGCAGCAGGTCAGATAGGTAGCCAGGTGACTGAAAGTGCAGTGATTTAAAAACAAATAGGAGAATTTTAAAATGTATTCTAAATTGCACTGGCAACCAATGAAGGGCCTTTAAAAGTGGAGTGGCGTGATCCCTTCTCTTCTTTTTTCAACAGAAATCTTGAGGCAGCATTTTGAACTAACTGGAGACGGGCAATTTGGGCCTTAGAAATGCCACAGTATAACGAATTGCAATAGTCAAGACGTGACGTCATAAATGCATGCACTGCCATCTCCAAAGTCTTATGAGTAAGGAAATGTTTAATTTTTGCAAGCAGACGGAGCTGGTGAAAACTGGACCCAACTACTAAAGAAATCTGTTTATCAAATTGTAAAGAGTCATCCAGGATAACACCCAGATTCCGTGCCTGCGAGGACCTAAAAGTCGATAGTGACCCCAAGTAAATCTGTTTTTGCAGCGCTTCCCCAAAAAATAAAAGGACACAAGTTTAAATTTACATTTGATTACCACCGTTTTTGATAATTTTTGGATTAAATCATAAAAAACATTCATTTTCTGAATAAAATACATTTCATAGGACAATATTATTCTTAAACATTTTAATAAATAATTAATGTTAAAAATGCGTTGTTAATCTAATTCATTATCAATTATCGAATTTAATTGATTAGACATGTTTTATTGAAATTTTAATAAACAAAACAAACAAATGGTTTCAAGTTTGTTATAATTAAAAAGCATTTGTTCAACCAAAAAACCCAGTTTCATTAATTTAACTGTCATTTTAACTGATGATGATAATAATAATAAACCATAATTTAATAATGCAGTTTATTTAATAATTGATTAATACTGTAAACCGTGATATTTTCTGAGACGTTATCATACTGTGAAAATCTCATACCATTACAACCCTACACAGGAGAGTCCCCCACCCCCGCTGTTAAAAAAGTAACTCAGTAACTTTTACTCTGAGTAAATTTTAAATGAGCTACTTTTTACTTTTACTTGAGTAGATTTTTAGACCGGTAATTTTACTTGTACTTTAGTAAAATTTCATTGAAGTAGTAGTACTTTTACTTGAGTAGAATATTTTATTACTCTTTTCACCTCTGCAGATTTTTTTATTTTTGGTTGAACTATCATTTTAAATGCTGTTAATATACCATATCAAGTCACAAATAAGAACTAATGAAATTAGTTAGCACAGCATAAAAAAAAACAGCCTGGTTGACGATGAAAAAGAAAAACAAGGTCGGACAATCATAGCACAAATTGTGAGATCTTTAACATGATGAGCCATAAATTTGGAAAATACAGAACTTCCTTAGATGTAACATAAACCAAAATAAAACTAGCTTGCAGGGCTACTCAGTAAGAAATCTCATTCAAAACTGTGTCAAAGATATCAAGACAAGGTCATTCAATCACCACCTGCTGACAAGGCGAAAATACGTTTTCTAGAAGCAGCATGCCTTTTATGAGGCATACGGTAGCTCAAATACACTATAAAATGTCATATGATAGTGTAGGTCTGGAAAAGTACTTCTCATAACCTTTCAGCAATATAGGGTAATATTTGGCACTGCGGTGTTGAATTTAAAAATGAAATCTACTTATTTAGAAAACAAATACAGAACTTATTACAAGTAGTTGACATGTAGTGGTTCGGGTATATTCTGTAATCATTTCAAAAACTCCATTTTGGGGCATGCTCTAAAAACTGTACAAATAATTATAAGGTCAGGAAATGTATTCAATTTTCTAGGCTAATTTCCATGCTAATATAATTGGCTCTGTGTCCACATGGGATTCATCCAGTTCTGAAATGACTCAGTTTCATCCTTGTGAATAATGACAGCAGTCAGAGTAGACTGAGAGTTTGAGAGAACGTTATCAAATCAAACAAACTGTCGGTGCAGTCAATGCCCTTGTCAATGGATCAGAGAAAGTTTGATAGTTTAGGGAACAAGATGCAAAACAGTGGAGGAAGTAGGACTAACATCCGCCGAGAACCTAACTGTATAAATTAGTTAAATCTCACATCAACGTGAAAATGATTTTATTTCTTGTGTTTGCCACAACACTTGGCGTGCTAGTTAGCCATCGCTGTAGTTCACTTGGTACTCGGTGAATCAATTTAATCAAAATGCATCAAATCTGACTAAAGCTGTGCTTCTCTTTAACATAGTAGGACAATCCCTCAAATCAGTAGTGATGCTCTAAAATCAAAATACTCAGAATTGCACAATAGACTTAGCACACATACAGAAAGGGTGCAAATCACAACTGTAAACGGAAACTTCTTTTCATCAATATATCATCCATTACGATTTACATTATGGCTAAAGATGTCAAAGATTCGGTTAATACTGTAAATGTTCAAGCTTCTGTTCACACGTTCAGGCAAGATTTCTGGCTTTCTCTTCGGTTACATCTCTTCGGTGAAATACCAGTTATTTATAAACATTATTGCATTTCCTTGCATATATCTGTAACATACCTAATAAATAGAAGCACAGACGACCTGTACACTAAAAAAATATATGATCAATAAGTAATGACAGCACAGCAGCATATGTTTTAAGCACATTGCTTTAACTCATGATAAGTTAAGCAATTTTCAACTTTTAATTGTATACAAGATTATCCAAGTTGATTGTACTTAATTTAAGGCAGCAACTTTTTTTACACTTTCTCCTGTCAAACACAAAATATATTTTGAAAGTGTTTTAGTAAAAACACAAACATTTTTATCATGTTTCAACATTTCATCTTTTGTGTTTCACAGATTCAACAGTCAGAGGTTTGGAACGACATGAGGGTGAGTAAAGAATGACATGTTCATTTTTAGTTTAACTGTCCCTGTACAGGCTAAACATAAAAAGTACTGAATGTTTTCTATAAAAGAGCTGACTTAGAAAATATGAATTTAATAATGTCTCTACACTGCAGTGCTGACTAATTGTTTTCTGTTATTTTATGACCACATCAAGTCTTCTATTAATTTGAGGGATTAACAATAAGAACATCCCAACAGTTCAGGCTAAAGCTGAGAGATATTCGGATCTGTCACTTGCCCTTTTGCGCCGGTGCATATCATTTTCAGCTTACTGCAATGCAGCTTAGTACAATTTAATTAAATTGTTAAATACTAAATATTTGTTTAATATTAAATAGCTTATAAATGTAAATAACATTAAATAAGGGGGGGAAAAAAACAATTTAGTTTCTTTACTGACACATACATAATATATGTGTAAAAGCTTCTTTTTTTTTCAGGAAGACAGATTAAATTTATCAAAAGAAATAGAAGCTGCTCCATGCTCTAAACCAGTGTTACGACCTGCGTTACTTGTATTTGTGTTGTTGAGCTGTGTTTTTTCTCTCTCTCCCTTTTCTTTCTTGTTCCGTCTTTGACTTCTGATAGGTTGTCAGATGATGGGGTGCACAACCATCATTGGCTGTTCAGTCGAGGCGTGGTCTTTATAAGAATGCAGCTGACACTCGAAGGAGAGCTCATTTCTGGTTGTGAGCTCCTGGATCTTTCTCCTGTCCTGCAGCTTTCTTTGGGTGAACTTGTTTGTGCTTTGTTTTTAATAGGGAGTTAGCCAAGCCATCTGTTCTTTATTTTGCTGTTTGACTAGGTCATTAAATGTATCCCTTTTTCTTTTTATATTCGTTTAGTTTGTCATTTTGGCCTTCAGTCACCCTGAAGACATGCTCCTTATTCCATTGCTAATTTCTTAATAAATGTAACAGTTTTCTCTGCTTAGCTCCTGTGTACCTGTTTATTTTATTGACCGGAGTGATTATTTTTTGGGGATTTCACTACCCCAACCGTTTTTTTATTAGGTCCTTTAAAGCCTTTTCTCTCTACCCCTTTACGCAGTGCGTTATAACCAGGGTTCCTCAAATCTGGCCCTGTATTAACCCTAATCACCCTAACCCTAATAAAAGAGAAGTGAACCAGCTAATCAATGGCTGCATCCGAAAAGACATACTTCCCTACTATATAAAAACGAAAAACAGTATGTGACAAAAGTAGTATGTCCAAATTCACAGTACTCAAAAGAATAGGCAAAAATTACCCAGATGACCTACTACTTCCGGTGAGATTCTGAAGTGTGCATACGATGGACACTTTACTATCCCATGAATGGCAGTGAAGCGACGCAACAGATGCTGGTAGGTCACATGATAATGACAACATGGTGAATGTAGTAAGTCCAGATTTCCTTCATACTACACACATTAATACTAGAACATACTTTTTTAGTGGTTCAAAATAAGTACCTACTACCTACTCAAGAGAGTATGCGGTTTCGGACACAGCCACTGTCTTTCAGAGTAACGGGTAGGTGGTTTGATCAGGGTTTGATCCACTGTGAGACACCAATGTGTCCCTGAGCAAGACACTTAACCCCTAGTTGCTCCAGAGGTGTGCGACCTCTGACATATATAGCAATTGTAAGTCACTTTGGATAAAAGCGTCAGCTAAATGAATAAATGTAAAATGTAAATGTTTGAGCTAAACACTGCAGGGCAGCAGCCCTTTAGGGCCAGATTTGAGAAACCCTGTTCTATCATGATTTCTAATTTTCATTACTGATAATAATAAGAAAAAAATTACTTTAATGCAAATCAGCATATTAGACTGATTTTTAAAGGAACAATGAAGACTGGAGTAATGGCTGCAAAAAAAAAAAAATTCACATTAATGCAGCCTTGGAGAGATTAAAAGACTTTGACAGGTAAGTAATAATCTGAACTACAAATCTGACTGGGCCAGCAGAAAAATCCTTATTGTTGAGCTCTGCAATTCTATTCAGTTCATGAAGCAATTGGACGATCATTGTGTGGTTTGCAACAAGGTAAACCCCATTACTGAGTCATTAAAAGGGCATGTTACATTATTCCCCCTATCGAAGCATTCATGTTCACAGTGTGTCTGTGAAATTGAAAGGTTCCCAGTGAAGCTCCAGTAAGGAAACGGTACCTGAGTGGGGGCTCCCTGGGCTCTCTTCCAGGGGTCCGGTCGGTGGAGGCCTCCAGGGGTGAGGGCAGCAGGTTGAGGCATGATGCAAAGGATTGACTGGAATCTTCCTGTGAGGCTGTAATAGCAAATCAAGGAGAAAAAAAGCCTCTGTATAATAACTAGCTTCAACTTTCTTTATTTCCTTGAAATATAGGGTTTATTTTGTTTATACAAACAAAATGTAGTACTTTTTTGGGTTGCCACTTGTCGAATGTGTAAATCTGGGTCCTGAAGCAAAACCAGATGAGAACCACTATTCATGCCAAAATGACTTTATGCACAAGCGCTGCGATATTTACTTCTCTTGCAAAAACAAATGCCTTAGCAAATATCAGCAATGACATCCGCAGAGTTTATTTGTCTAGATAGGCTTTGCCTGTGGTGCATGTTAACGTGTAGAGTCGTATGTGCTGATGTAAGTCCTCCAGAAAACTATCAGAACATTTTGGAAAATTAAGATGACTACATGACTAATCCACAACTGCATGCATGCATGCATAACTTAATGGTGTAATATTTTACAAGATATTAAAATCTAAAGACTAGCCCAAGTCTTCTTCGGCTAAAATTGGGGGCGCGGGGAGGGGTGGGGAAATAAGGTCTCATCTTTTTATATCTACGGCAAAAATAATTTTTTCAAGCTATGTTGCTATTATAAGAACGTGTCATTTCTATAACAAGACATTCAGAGATATAACAGCATGAATATGAATGAGAATTAATGTCATAATACATGTTGCAGAGTCTGAAGTAAAAGGAGAGAGAGCAACTGGAGTCTGGTAAAAACATACCATGGTGAGCTCGCTGGTCATCAGAGAGGTCAAGATCCAGCATCAGGTCATCCTCATCCAACTCAGACGAGCCAAGGTTATTCAAAACATCCTGGAAGAGGAGAAAAATAAAAAAAACTATGATGCAAGGGTCAAAATAAAACATTTAGCTTAAGAGGGCTCAATGAGGATGGTCCAGTGTCCCATTTTACATTTTATGCTGTTACATTGTATGCAGTTACAAATATATTCATATTATGTAATTAATTATACATACTATAGTACATATATATTTAGAATATTTTATATAAAAAAAAAAATTATAAACCGATTCAAATACATGTATAAAATTTTAAAATAAATATTTTATTTTATGTAATAAAATTTATCATTTTAATATTTTATCAATTTATTTCAATCCGTTTATAAAAATGTTTTTAATTTGCAATAAGAGCTGATAATAATGTCTGTATGCATTCATGTATATACAGACGTGCTCAAATTTGTTGGTACCCCTCCACAGAAAACGAAGAATGCACAATTTTCTTTTAAATAATTTGAAACTGACAAAAGTAATTGGCATCCACCATTGTTTATTCCATATTTAATAGAAATCAGACTTTGCTTTTGATTTTTTATTCAACATAATATTGTAAATAATAAAACAAATAAAAATGTCATGGACAAAAATGATGGGACCGCTAACCTAATATTTTGTTGCACAACCTTTAGAGGCAATCACTGCATTCAAACGTTTTCTGTAGCTCTCAATGAGACTTCTGCACCACAGGTAGTTTGGCCCACTCTTCCTGAGCAAATTGCTCCAGCTGTCTCAGGTTTGATGGGTGCCTTCTCCAGACTGAGAGTTTCAGCTCTTTCCATAGATGTTCGATAGGATTAAGATCAGGACTCATAGAAAGCCACTTCAGAATAGTCCAATGTTTTGTTATCCATTCTTGGGTGCTTTTAGCTGTGTGTTTTGGATCGTTATCCTGTTGGAGGACCCATGACCTGCGACAGAGACAGAGCTTTCTGACACTGGGTAGTACGTTTCGCTCCGGAATGCCTTGATAGTCTTGAGATTTCATTGTGCCCTGCACAGATTCAAGGCACCCTGTGCCAGACACAGCCCCAAAGCATAACCAGCCTCCTCCATGCTTCACTGTAGGTATGGTGTTCTTTTCTTTGAAAGCTTCAATTTTTTTGTCTGTGAACATAGAGCTGATTTGACTTGCCAAAAAGCTCCAGTTTTGAACCATCTTTCCAAAGGACATTCTTCCAGAAGGATTGTGGTTTGTCAATATGCATGCATTTTAGCAAATGCCAGTCTGGCTTTTTTATGTTTTTCTTTCAAAACTGGAGACCTCCTGGGTCTTCTTCCATGGAGCCCACTTTCGCTCAAAAAGCGACGGATGGTGCGATCAGAAACTGATCGAGTTCAGCTTGGATCTCTTTGGCAGTTATCCTTGGTTCTTTTTCTACCATTTGCACTATCCTTCTTTTCAATCTTGGGTCGATTTTCCTCTTGCGGCCCGGGCCCAGGGAGGTTGGCAAGTTAAATGGACCTTAAACTTCTTAATAATATTTGCAACTGTTGTCACAGGAACATCAAGCTGCTTGGATGGAGATGGTCTTGTAGCCTTTACCTTTACCATGCTTGTCTATTATTTTCTTTCTGATCTCCTCAGACAACTCTCTCCTTTGCTTTCTCTGGTCCATGTTCAGTGACGTGCACACAATTATACCAAACAGCACAGTGATTACTTTTCTCCATTTAAATAGGCAGAATGACTGATTACAAGATTGGAGACATGTGTGATACTAATTAAAGAAACAAATTAGTTTGAAATATCACTATAATCCAATTATTTGTTATCTTTTCTAAGGGGTACCAACAAATGTGTCCAGGCCATTTTAGAATATCTTTGTAGAATAAGCAATAATTCATCTCTATTCACAGCTTCTTTGCTTTATTGTATGACATACCAAAGGCATGCAAGTATACATGATAAAATTGCTTTTATTTTCATTACTTTTCATGAGGAATTAAGCATTATTTCAATGAGCTGTAAGGGTACCAACAAATTTGAGCACGTGTGTGTGTGCGTGTGTGTATATATATATATATATATATATATATATATATATATATATATATATATACACACTCACCGGCCACTTTATTAGGTACACCTGTCCAACTGCTCGTTAACACTTAATTTCTAAGCAGCCAATCACATGGCGGCAACTCAGTGCATTTAGGCATGTAGACATGGTCAAGACAATCTCCTGCAGTTCAAACCGAGCATCAGTATGGGGAAGAAAGGTGATTTGAGTGACTTTGAACGTGGCATGATTGTTGGTGCCAGAAGAGCTGGTCTGAGTATTTCAGAAACTGCTAATCTACTGGGATTTTCACGCACAACCATCTCTAGGGTTTACAGAGAATGGTCCGAAAAAGAAAAAACATCCAGTGAGTGGCAGTTCTGTGGGCGGAAATGCCTTGTTGATGCCAGAGGTCAGAGGAGAATGGCCAGACTGGTTCGAGCTGATAGAAGGGCAACAGTGACTGAAATAACCACTCGTTACAACCGAGGTATGCAGCAAAGCATTTGTGAAGCCACAACACGCACAACCTTGAGGCGGATGGGCTACAACAGCAGAAGACTCCACCGGGTACCACTCATCTCCACTACAAATAGGAAAAAGAGGCACAATTTGCAAGAGCTCACCAAAATTGAACAGTTGAAGACTGGAAAAATGTTGCCTGGTCTGATGAGTCTCGATTTCTGTTGAGACATTCAGATGTTAGAGTCAGAATTTGGCGTAAACAGAATGAGAACATGGAACCATCATGCCTTGTTACCACTGTGCAGGCTGGTGGTGGTGGTGTAATGGTGTGGGGGATGTTTTCCTGGCACACTTTAGGCCCCTTAGTGCCAATTGGGCATCGTTTAAATGCCACGGCCTACCTGAGCATTGTTTCTGACCATGTCCATCCCTTTATGGCCACCATGTACCCATCCTCTGATGGCTACTTCCACCATGTCACAAAGCTCTAATCATTTCAAATTGGTTTCTTGAACATGACAATGAGTTCACTGTACTAAAATGGCCTCCACAGTCACCAGATCTCAACCCAATAGAGCATCTTTGGGATGTGGTGGAACGGGAGATTCGCATCATGGATGTGCAGCCGACAAATCTGCGGCAACTGTGTGATGCCATCATGTCAATATGGACCAAACTCCCTGAGGAATGCTTCCAGCACCTTGTTGAATCTATGCCACGAAGAATTGAGGCAGTTCTGAAGGCAAAAGGGGGTCCAACCCGTTACTAGCATGGGGTACCTAATAAAGTGGCCGGTGAGTGTATATATATATATATATATATATATATATATATACACTACCGTTCAAAAGTTTGGGGTCGGTACGACTTTAAATACTTTTAAAAGAATTCTCTTCTGCTAACCATGGCTGCGCTTATTTGATTAAAAATACAACAAAAATCAGTTATAGTATTAAATATGTAAATCAGCTGTTTTCTGTGTGAATGTAAAGTGTAATTTATTCCTGTGATCAAAGCTAAATTTTCAGCATCACCAGTGTCAGTGTCTTCAGTGTCAAATGATCCTTCACAAATCAGTATAATATGAGGATTTGATGCTCAAGAAACATTTATTATTATTATCAATGTTGAAACAGTTGTTGGTCTGTCAGTTGTACAGTTTTTTTTTTTTTTTTTTTAGGATTCTTTGATGAATAGGAAGTTCAAAAGAACAGCATTTGTTTGAAATAGAATCTTTTGTAACATTATAAATGTATTTACTGTCCTTGATAAATAAAAGTATTGATTTCTTTCCTCCAAAAAATAAAAATAAAATTCTCACTGACCCCAAACTTTTGAACGGTAGTGTATATATACACTCACCGGCCACTTTATTAGGTACCCCATGCTAGTAACGGGTTGGACCCCCTTTTGCCTTCAGAACTGCCTCAATTCTTCGTGGCATAGATTCAACAAGGTGCTGGAAGCATTCCTCAGGGAGTTTGGTCCATATTGACATGATGGCATCACACAGTTGCCGCAGATTTGTCGGCTGCACATCCATGATGCGAATCTCCCGTTCCACCACATCCCAAAGATGCTCTATTGGGTTGAGATCTGGTGACTGTGGAGGCCATTTTAGTACAGTGAACTCATTGTCATGTTCAAGAAACCAATTTGAAATGATTAGAGCTTTGTGACATGGTGGAAGTAGCCATCAGAGGATGGGTACATGGTGGCCATAAAGGGATGGACATGGTCAGAAACAATGCTCAGGTAGGCCGTGGCATTTAAACGATGCCCAATTGGCACTGAGGGGCCTAAAGTGTGCCAGGAAAACATCCCCCACACCATTACACCACCACCACCAGCCTGCACAGTGGTAACAAGACATGATGGTTCCATGTTCTCATTCTGTTTACGCCAAATTCTGACTCTAACATCTGAATGTCTCAACAGAAATCGAGACTCATCAGACCAGGCAACATTTTTCCAGTCTTCAACTGTTCAATTTTGGTGAGCTCTTGCAAATTGTAGCCTCTTTTTCCTATTTGTAGTGGAGATGAGTGGTACCCGGTGGAGTCTTCTGCTGTTGTAGCCCATCCGCCTCAAGGTTGTGCGTGTTGTGGCTTCACAAATGCTTTGCTGCATACCTCGGTTGTAACGAGTGGTTATTTCAGTCACTGTTGCCCTTCTATCAGCTCGAACCAGTCTGGCCATTCTCCTCTGACCTCTGGCATCAACAAGGCATTTCCGCCCACAGAACTGCCGCTCACTGGATGTTTTTTCTTTTTCTGACCATTCTCTGTAAACCCTAGAGATGGTTGTGCGTGAAAATCCCAGTAGATTAGCAGTTTCTGAAATACTCAGACCAGCCCTTCTGGCACCAACAATCATACCACGTTCAAAGTCACTCAAATCACCTTTCTTCCCCATACTGATGCTCGGTTTGAACTGCAGAAGATTGTCTTGACCATGTCTACATGCACTGAGTTGCCGCCATGTGATTGGCTGCTTAGAAATTAAGTGTTAACGAGCAGTTGGACAGGTGTACCTAATAAA